AGTGAGAAGTATGGTGATAGTTTTAATCTCGTTAATTCAGCATCCTGTCCTATTTGTAATGGAGATCATAAAGAAAAAGGTATAAAGAATAGCATAATGGGTATATGGGGTTCTGGTGAATATTGCAAAGAATGAACTTATCGTCTCGAATGTGGGATGGCCCCCTATCTACATGGAATTCCAATAGTAAATGTGGAAGCATAAAAGACTCATGTGAATCCGATCATCGCCCAAGAAAAAACTATATTAAGAATGATTGAGTAATCCAGTATCATTAGCAGTTGCAAATAAAAATTTTTGACTTGTTTCTTTTTTTTGAGTACCCATAGAGTTGCATTCCAATAATTCCGAATTCACCGGCCCAGATGATTTATAAACCCAGTACATCCCATCATTAGCCTCACGCCATAATTTCCCCGAAGGTGCTTTGCTATTTCATCATCTATCTCCTTCTGTGATGTGCAAGACAGGCGTGAGCTTTCAACATATATGAGCTCATATTTTTTTCTATCATGCTTCATCACAAATATGATATCTGGCCGTCTTCCTGTTTGCCCTTCACCTTTCCTATCTGTACTAGCTGAACTTCGAAATGGCTAATTTTTCGCAAAAATAATTCCGCCGGAACTGTCTGATATTTTTTATAAATACCCTGCCTATTTTTTCCTTCCACTCTCAATCCCCAGGAACATTCATTATGTTACAACCTTGAATCAGACTATGCCACAAACGAATAGAACTCCTGCCTTCTTATTCATTCGAAGCAACAAAAAAATATATTGTCCTTTATCTTCAGTCGACACACTATACTCAATAAGCAGTTTACTGAAGTGAACAGCATCGCATTAGATATTCTAATTCTTTCTTCTGATTACAGGTATCTTTGAATAATATAAGTGAAAAGGGATAGGAGTAGACTTTAGCCGAAGATGTTACGCATAATGTAGCTTATTCATATACTGTACATATATTGTAGCAAAGTTATCTAAGCAATATTCAATATTTTTTTTATTAATAATCCTTATAACAGTGTAAAAACGATTAGGGATTTTGCCACACTTTAAAAGAAAGAGCGAGGTCTGTCAAATGTAGTATCAATAGGTACATATCCATCCATTACCGAAAGCATATTGGCAGACAAAGAATACATCATTTCATTTCTCTGCTCAGGGACTATCTGCAAGCTATCAGTCAAGAGCCATTGGGGTCCACTTTCTGCGCTCGAAGCCATGCCAAAACTATCGGCAAAAGCTAACCTGGCATCCCTAACCTGTTCAATCAATAATTCAGGTAAAAGTGGTGTGGGTATGTGGACAGTAAGTCCTTGACGAGTTACATAACATGACCCTATTCCAAATGGATTTCTTGTTTTTTTGTCTGAAGCGTGAGTTAGCGTAAGCAGATTTCCCCGAAACCCATCATACAACCATTTTTAAAGATTAATCAGCCTAGATATAAAAAATTCTTTAGTTGAAAGCTTCAATCTAGACTCTGAATTGCGGAACTGATCTAGTCCTGCAACAACCATCTCTCCTATTACAGTTTCACGAATATCGGCAATTCCCACTAACTTTGTATAATCTAGTCACAAATTTTCGCATCAGTCTTCAGCTGCCTCGGGAACAGGATCCTCTAATTGTTCAGCAAAAGCATCAAAAATGAGCAAATTCTCCAGAAAGGCATCAGCTATTAAGATTTTGACACGGAAGAAGGCCAATATTTCAGCCAGTTCAATCCCAGTCAGAAATGGAGGCACTGAGGCTAGAAGTGCTCTAGAGCCTGGAAAGTTCTTCTTATTTCGCATTTCCCGTTTAGAAAGAAAGACATTGGATGGAGCTCCGATCAGACTAACTACTGTAACGAGATCGGATGCGAAACAGTTCCAAACATAACCTGAAAAAAGAATCCGGGCTCCCTCTATTGGCACTCGCGAGAATCTTGACGCAATTTCTCCTAGGAGCGTCAGAGACACAAATGGTTTGGCTTTAGTAGAAGATGACCTATCCAGATTCTTAATTTCTATAAAACCAAAAGAAATTGCCTTTGAGTTGGCCACCAAGAAGGCTTCAGGAGGGGGAGGGTCAAGTAGATCCAAATCCTTAACTCTGAAAGCCTCCTTATTTGGGAAAGCTGGAAACAACTCGGGATTTATGGCATGGGGAGTCTCTACCAGCTCCTTATATCGCCTCTATTCAGCTATAAGAGCCAGGAAGATGGGATCTACTCCTAGCGTAATGATATTAGGCAACTGCTGTTCTTCCAAAGCATTAAAAGTATTTTTGGTATATAATGGATAGAAGTCACCGGGGAATAGCCGGCCTGCCCGACCTTTTCTCTGAAGTATCCTGCTTTGTGGAGCCGGACGAGTAATTATACCAGATATTTCCCAAGGCTGATAAGTTTCTCGAGAGCGATGCCACCCACTATTCACTACATATCGCAAAGTATCAATGGTCAGCCCAATCTCCGCAACCATGGTCGTCAAGATAACACGTCTAACAACCTTATGACCATTAACTAGAGGAAGAGATTCGGGCTTTGCAAATACCAGATGATATTCTCTCCTCTGCGCCGCCACTATTTCCCGGTTTAGAGTTAGTAGCAAAAAGGGTTTCTCTAGTTGCTCTAGTTTTTTGACTAGTTCCTGGCAAATGGCCATAGCTTCTCCCGCTCCAGGAGTAAAGACAAGAATATCTGCTTTGGCAGGAGAATCATCAAGATTATTTTGATGGATCTCTATGATCTGCTCCACAGCTCCCATGATATAATTATTGAAAACATTACGGGGCCAGTGAATCTCAATGGCATATGCCCTGCCCATGACATCAAGATAATTGCTGGGATCTACCCCAAAGTATTTCGCATAGCGCTGGATGTCAAATGTTGCACTAGTCAAAATCAAGAAAGGGAGATCAGCTCTAAGCCTATTACGTTCATAAAAGTTTTTAAGAAGCATTAATAGAAAATCTGACTCAAGAGATCGCTCGTGAGTCTCATCTACAATAATTATGCGATACTTTTCTATGATTTCTGCATCCGTGCTCATCCGCATATGAGCAACCAGAATACCAACTGTAGCATAAAGTAAGCCATGAATGGGTTTTTTACTGTTAGGCCCCGTTTGATATCCGACTGTTTTCTCCAGCACCATATCTTTGTAGTAGTCACTGCTAGAAACATCTTTGGCTAAAGAGATGGCGGTCAGTATCTGAGGTTGAGTACAAATGACATCACCCTTCTTAAAATCTCGCTTTTTAATCTCTACATTAGCAGGAATGAACCCATTAAGATATCTATGCATTTCTACCGGAAGAATATTAGACTTTCCAGAGCCAGTTTTGGCCTGTACTATCAAGATTCATGCTAAAGAGCTCTTAATATTAGTATTTTTTGCCCCAGAATGAGAACGAATCCATTTGAGAATATATTCTATTGGAATTTCATCCGAATTATGCCTTATAATCTTATTAGTATCTTTATCTTTCTCGTAAAGATAGAGACTTCTTCGCGTTAATAGGGTAGGCTTTGCCATAGATTAATTAGATTATATGTGGTAATTAGATTATATGATAGTAGATAGATTATGATGCATCGAAAATATCTCTCCCCGCCTTCTCATAAATTCGAAGCCAGAAAAAAGAGGGGATATATTTATACAAGTAGAAAGACTTCTTAACCAACGGCTAGATCAGGACATAGCATTTCCAAGTGAAATTCTAGATATTACTTTCGAACAGACTGAGCAAAATTTAGCCGATAATCGATCAAAAACTCCACTATATTTCTCCTTAGCAAATGTGCGTAAAAGGATTCAGAATATGGATGTTTCTAAAATTCCTACTCAAGAGAATCTTGCAGATGTGATAGTGATGTTGAGTATGAGACCTGCAGAAGTAAGATCTCTTCAGATCAGTCATTATGAAGTTGATCCCTCAAATCCTCCAGCATGGTATGTAAACGGGTTTTCCTGGTATTGTATTGGATATGTTAAGAATAAAGGAAAATATAAGGATAATCCAGAGCCTCGTCCACTCGTTTCTATGGAGAAGGATCCAGAACGTGCAAGAACACTACTCATCTGGATTCAAGAAGCTCGGTTAAGTAGATATAGCCCCAACTATTGAGTATCCGAGACAAGCCATAAAAGTGCTTTACAAAAATACCAACACTGACACGTAGGATCGCGAGTGGCCAAGGCTTACGAATCTGATGTAAAAGCGTTCGGGTTTGTTCAGCCATTTTTTATAATAGCCAAAGTAAACCCATATCTGGCTTTCTTACAAGCAGTTGGTTTGCATTTTTTTCAGCAGTCCAATACTATCCTTCAGGTCTATAATAAAGTTTCTGTAAAGTAAGATTCTGATCTAAGCCCCCGGCTCGCTTTCTGAGGCACTTTTTTCCTTGCACTTTTGCCTAGTGAGATTAAATACAACAAACTTACCTTTTCGAAGGTAGACATATTTTGCGCATTGTCGTGGGCCATATCCAGTTCATCTGAATTCCGGGTAGCGCTAAAGAAATATAGCCAGATGACAGAATATTACTCCGGTCGATCTTTTCCCAATACTACACTCAGATTTTGCGAATTCTACATTTGTTCATCAATATAATTACCAGTACTATCAAGATAAATAAGGAGTTAGCCGAAGAGCTTCTCTTGCATAGTGTATATGCTGATTTTCGGTACAAGCAATATGGGCCTTAATACCTAGCCCAGTACCAATTCTGCGAATATCCAAAGGCATTAGAGAATGGGGATTCAAAATATATTTAATCTCCTTTTTTGGACAAAATGACCCATATAAAAATCAATTTCGAATGAAGTTACATGGGAAAGCTTACATTATCCCAACTTTTAGCAAAGCTCCAGAAGTTGAAGATCCGCCCAAAGAGAAGTAAGACCAAGCATCTACCAACTCCTTTAGCTAGGATTCCGACAGATGGGAAGATAACTTCGTAGCAAATCATTCTTGCTTAAACCTATGGATGGAAAATAAAGTATAGATTTGGTGGCCCCCAAAGGTAGAATTATATATAGGAAAGAAAATAAAAAATTCTGCTTTTGGGGGCCACCGATGATAGATAGGAAAGACTGGAGAAATAAATGGACATAATGTTTATCTTTGGTCTTGTGAGGATGGTACGCATCAATGGGAGTATCCATTAAAGTATATTATGAAAAAATTTGAGTGGTGTTCTCTTTGCTGGCATACTACTGAAAGAAATATACAATATATTTTCGAGGATCTGTTAGGAAAGAAATTCCCACCCTGTAGACCATCATTTTTGAATGGGATGTATTTGGATGGTTATAACGAGGAATTGCACCTTGCTTTTGAATTTCAGGGTCCTCAACACTATCATCTTAATTCAATGTTTCATAGGAGAGGGGGTATAGATTTGGAGGAACAAAAATCACG